ATGAGCGCTCCATCCCTTACAAATAATATCTCTCAAATCAGACAATGGTATGTAATTCAACATGCTGTCATATACCATTGTCTTCAGGGATGGGAGATGAAGCTCGACAAGAAGCCAATGACGACGTTCCAAAACAGGGATAAAAACCTGCAATCATAAATAATTGCGCATATCAAATAAAATTTATGAAAACCTTTAAAATATTAAAAAAATAAATACTAACCTTATCGACCTCCCACCACGCAGGATAAAATTTAGCTTTTCAATTACCCAACGTATATGAAGCATCTCTCGGATCCTTCAAGTGAGCTACGTGAAAAGACGTCGGCATAATAGTCCATCGAGTATTTATTATTTTCCTCAATTTCCTTATTATTAGAAGACGTGACACACATGCATCAATATGTTGTTTTATAAAAAAATACATATATTAGTGAATTTATTAATAATTTTTAAAAAAAAATTAATCAAAATGCAATATAAGAAGAATATAAGACTTACCACCCCTTCGAGATAGCCATTATCTTCAACCCCTAATAAAATACCCCACCAAGACCGATCAAGAAACAAATGCATAACATCGTCGAGTTTGCATAGGTCAGAATAACACTCCTTGCTCCGCTCATGTAGATAAAAATCAACTGCGATCTTAGCCCAAAGGGTATTATCCGTAATTGTGTCCGGTAGTGTTCCCCTCTCCTGCTAAGGAATGGTACTGGCCGGTAACACATACGAAAGCCAAATCGCATCTATCATATCGGGCATGGGAGGGGGTTTATCAATATGTCGACATATGACGCCATGTGAATCGGACTCTTGAACAGCGGGCGGGACTTCTTGAACGATGACAGTGGCCTCTTGAACGATAGGAGACGCCTCTTGAATGATGATAGGTGCATCGGGCTTCTTCTTACTGAGTCTTGACACTAGTGGGGTGAACGGAGACGCAATGGCACGTGCACGACGTTTGATGCGTGAACCCCGTCGTGCAAGAAAAACTCGACGTAAAGCATCTACCTTATCGGGCTGCTGAAAATAAATTAATATATAAATAAATAAATAAATAAATAAATAATACCGAAAAAAGGTTATTTGCATTTTTAGTATAGTATTAAATAAATTTACCTCATTGCGTAGAGTATGAACCTCATTCTGCAACGATGAAACAATCTCGAGTAGAGCGGCAACCTCATAACGTAGCGCACCATTGTCATCGCGTAAAAAATCCACCTCACCACGTAAAGACCGAACCTCATCACGTCATGCACCATTGTCTTTACGTAAAGTACCGGCCTTATGACGCAAAGCACCGACCTCATCACGTAACTCCCCTAACTCATCCCGTGGAGGTGAAGAACAGGGAGATAAATGTCGTGGCCTCTTTTTCGGTCGTCTATCATGAGGTGATGGTGGAGAAGAGGCTCGATGATGTGATGGAATAGGTGATGGTGGAGGTGGAGAAGAGGCTTGATCAGGTGATGGCTTTGGGTGTCGAGCTGTAGAATTGGATCGATCAGGTGATGGCTCTCGAAGTGGGGGGTGCTCATCATCCGTCCCATCAAAAAACCGCTTACTAGCTTGCCACCAATCAGTGGCAAGCTCAGCCTCTGTGGGTGTCAGCCTCTGTAAATGGATAGTTGGCCTCCTAACAATATAAAAGCTCAATCAAAGTTAAATGTGTACTAGTAATAACTTGTTTATATAATGATATTATTTGTGTGTTAACTTACATCATTCATCGTCGTATATGGGAGTAACTCTTCCCAATCCAACATGCGGATCCTCTTCCAGGTAATAGCCCTAGGAATATCATTTGATTTTTTTATCGCATATGTTCGCATGCTAGGGAAAGCCTCAAATATCCAAATCTACAAACAATATAATACACAAACATTAGTAATTCTTAAATAATTAATTATAATTTTGGAAACATTATATATAAATTCTTACCTTAAAGGCCCAAGTAAAGCCTGTCAAAGTGTACTTAGAACCATCGCCCCGCAAATTTTTTCGGTCTTCAAAGGCAGACGATAACTTCTTCCAGGTAGCTTTCCATAGATATGAACCCCACGGAAACAGGTTCCATGCATTTAGGTCCTCTACCAATAATATTAGGTCCTCAGAGATAGGTTGTCTGCCCTCTTTACCTAAAATGTCGGCATGCAAAAGTAATAAATGGCATACTCGGACAACATCAAGGCCATCCATCCGAGTAAAACCATCTTTAACAAATAATCTCTTCAAGTCGTCGACGTGTAAACTCGGCTTCAACTTTGCCAGATCAGGAAAACCCCGAGATAACCATGATGGGCGGGAGATATGACTAGTGTACCGGGTTACTTCATCGTGTCCGAAGCGTAGACCAATGATTAAGCAAAACTCCTCTCGCCCAAAACAAGTGTACACCGGAGGAAAATGAAACCATATCTCTTCATCACCACGTTGTATCTTCTCGGGTAGATCGTTAGTCATGGTCTGAAGAAACAAATGTGTCAACATAGCATCTCCACTCGAATGTTATACTTTCAGCCATGGCCCGAAGCAAGTATCCTCAAACAATTTTCTTTGTAGAGGTGTAAGCATCGACGCAATTTTAATGGCTAGGCTTAATTTATTCCTTAAGGTCAATGCAGTCGATTTTTTTTTACAAAAACAATAAACATACCAAGTTAAATGTACCAAAAACTACAAATTATACACTATAAACAGACATGATATTAAACAGTGAAAACAAAGCCAAATATGTTTCAAACTAGCACGATATTCACCCAAGTCATTATTCCATCATAGTTCACAAAATGCATCAGATAACATTCCAGAAGTAAGCACTTATATAAACATAAAAGGACAACATATAGGTTTACTGCAGGTTCAATGGCAATATAAAGAGTAGTAGTTTATTCTTGAAACTTAAATTAGCAACACTGTAAAGTTAGTATTTGTCTTTGTTTTTTGGTTGAAGTAATGCAATTCATTCAAGTTTCAATTTGCAGAATAAGAGTAATTTCTGAAACTTAAATTTGCAAGGCGAATATGAAAATCGCAACGCGAAACTAAAATCGCGTTGCGATTTTCATTTTCGCGTTGCGAATTTAAGTTTCAGAAACTACTCTTATTCTGCAAATTGAAACTTGAATGAATTGCATTACTTCAACAAAAAAATAAAGACAAATACTAACTTCACAGGGTTAAAGACTAAACAGTTTAGCAGTATTGGCAACAACCGAATGAATTTATTAAGCAATCTCAGTGAAATGGTTAATCTATATATATTTAAATTACCAGTAAATTTATCATCAATATAAGAAAAATTTAATAATAATACAAAAATTTCAAAATAAAAATAAGAGATTAAAAAAACTAACCCTCAGTGGTTGATTTTCCATTTCTGACCGTGAATGGTTGTGAGGGTTGCTCTGAGAGATGGAGATAGACGGATTTCGCCGGAAATGGGGATGGATTTCGTCGGAGATGGGGACGGATGTTGCCGTAGAGAGTGAGAGATGGAGATGAGATTGAGTTGTGATTTAGGGTTTTAGGTTATGATTTGCGATAATACTGTTTACATTTGTGTTGTGAAATTAATATTGTGTTTCAAATTCGAAAATAAAATAAAATCCGCGCTGCGAAAATAAACACGCTTTGAGAATTTGACTTTTGTGTTGCGAATTTGAAATTTAGCGTTGCGAATTTGAAATTCAGTGTTGCGAATTTGACTATCGCGTTGCGAATTTGACTTCTGTGTTGCGAATTTGACTTATGTGTTGCGATTTACAGATTCGCGTTGCGATTTATTGCGATTTACAGATTCGCGTTGTGATTTACAGATTCACGTTGCGAATTTAGAAACTGGGATGCGAAATAGGAGTTCGCATTGCGATTTTGAGATCGCGTTGCGAATTTATTGGTCATTTTCGCAAATCTAAAAAAAATTAGTTAAAATCGTATATTATAAGGTATTTTCGATAAGGTTATTTTCTCTATTTTAATCATGTTGTATTAAGTGATGCATCATTTAATTAATATATTTATGTCATCATTGTTTACCCTAGTTGTGCCTGTACAAGTAGTATGTATTTATTTTTTGAATTTTATATTTCTGATCTCTATTTTTTTTTTTCATTTTAACCCAATCAAGAGTTCTATATATATATATATTTGGTATAACTATCGATATCTTCTATATTAATCGATTAATCTAGATCGAATATTAAAGAGGTAAGAACGATCCTCTTAATTCAATTTACTTCATTTGTAATCCTCAAGATTCAAATATCTAACTTTACTTAAGAGATCTAATACTTCATCCCACTAAATTAACTAATTGTTTGTATCAAGAGTTCTATATGGTCTAGTAAAGAAACCGCCCTAATGGGTAAAAACTGAACCCTAAATCACACACCATGACTGACGCTAAAAATGTTATTTTTTTCTAAAAAAACTAAAATTGATCATTTATTCAATTGTTGTAGTGTTGTGTTCTGTCAAGTTATTGAGTCCAGACTAGCATTTCCTCCATGATTGAACAAGGGACCTACTTTACCCCTCTATCCCCTGTCATCCCACATGCTCTCCTCTCTATCGGCGCCCCCAGTTTCAACCCTTTTCCGTCTTACCCCCTTACGTGTCACTCCGGGTCTTTATCTCCCCCAAACAACATACTGACAAACTCTACCTCTTAAACCTTCCAATTTTCTCAAAATTAAACCCACCAATCACTTCCGCTGTCTCTCACTAATCTTCTCTTAACCCAGCCGTTTAAAACCAAATTTCTCGGCGAGAGACGTTATTTAATCATGTAATTAGTGGCCATTAATGCTAATTTATTACAACTATTCTCTTTGGTTACACTGCTCATATTGGTGTATACTGAATCAAATAAAATAAATAAAAAGCTGTCATTTTTTCACCTGTTTAGTATCCAAGGAGGGGGGGGGGAACTATTCCTTTTCTGTCTTTTATATATGATTAATGCTCATAATAATCCACATTTTTACAGAAAGCACCCCTGTTTTTGCGGTGTTTGAAACCATATCAACTTTTCTTCTTCTTCACTACTTTCTCTATCTCTCAGTTTTTTCTGTGGCCATTGACATATGAAAGATGCCAGTAAGTACGTTTCTTTTGGCTGGTTTTTTATTATTTTCCCCTTTTTTTTTTGTTTGGATTTGCACATAATTGTACTCTGTTCTTGAGTTTGTGAAATTTCAGCTCATTATACTACTCTTTGTTACCACATTTTTGGGTTCATTAGATTCGAAAACTTTCAACTTGTTCATATTCCTTGATTTTGGAGTTATCTTTGACAATGGAATTTATAACGGTTCAATAGTTTTTTTTTTCAGTTTATGTATTTGATTTAATGTCTGCTTAATTTTCTGTTAATTCCCTCTGATTTCGACAATCACCCATCATATTTGTATAATATGTCCAAAGTTTGTATTCTTCTTTGCTTAGGCAAATTTGTTGGCAGTTTTCTTTTTTGGCCTCACGACCTTAGGAGCGAATCTACTTTTGCTGCTACCATTTCTGTTGTATTTTAGATGTTTTTACATAGTTTTGATACTGTCTGCCACTTATCAGTTTGATATGTTCTCGAGCTTTTTTTTAAGGTAAATATGGGTTTCTTGTCTTGTTTATTTGATGTGAAATTCTTGATCCTTTTTTTAATTGCATATTACTGTTTTCTTTTCGAACCATTTATCTCCATTAATGTCTGAATATCGACGGTTTGATCTTTTTCATTTATCTACATTAGTGTCTGAATATCGACGGTCTGTTCTTTTTCGATTCAACTTGTGATGTAGGTGGCATTGCTGTTGCTGCTGGCATTGTGCAATGCAATCGGAGTTAATGGAGAAGAGAGCAATGGACAATGTGATCTTAAGCCCACATTGAACTCGAGACCACATAGTGTATCGATTTTGGAATTTGGCGCTGTCGGCGACGGCAAAACGTTAAATACCATCGCCTTTCAGAATGCCATTTTCTATCTCAAGTCTTTTGCAGACAAGGGTGGCGCCCAACTTTACGTGCCGCCTGGACGATGGCTTACCGGAAGTTTCAATCTTACGAGTCATCTCACTCTCTTCTTGGAAAAGGGTGCAGTCATTCTTGGATCTCAGGTATTTGTTTTCCTGTATTTTTAGGCATGATTTTCCAATACAAACATATCACGAGTAACCGTTTTTGACCTTGATTTTGTTTCATACTTTGTTAAGGATCCATCTCACTGGGGCATGGTCGAACCTTTACCCTCATATGGTCGAGGAACCGAACTTCCTGGAAAAAGATATCAAAGTTTGATAAATGGGTACATGTTGCATGATGTCGTAATAACCGGTAAGATTGTGTCTCCACTATGTTCATTAAAGTCTTGATTGAATCTCAGATAAACTCACACTTGCTTGCTGCACTAGGTGATAATGGAACCATAGACGGACAGGGCTCGGTTTGGTGGGAATGGTTCACATCTCATTCCTTAAACTACACCCGCCCTCACCTCGTGGAATTTGTGTCTTCCGTTTATGTGCTTGTTTCAAATGTTACTTTTCTTAATGCCCCTGCATACAGCATTCACCCAGTATATTGCAGGTTTGTTTGAATTTACCTTTCTGATTGCTTTTAAAATTCTATCCGATCTGTTGACCATTCGAGATAGTTAAATTGTATTTACTTGATTGTTATGCAGCAATGTGCGCATTCATGACATATTGGTCTATGCTCCACCAGGATCACCATATACCGTTGGCATAGTCCCAGGTTTGTGACGACTACTTTTATCAAGCTATTTCTCTTGAAAAGAATGGTAACTAAAAGAGTTGTTTAGTTTCATTTTCCGGTCAGGCCTTCTGTGAAAATTTGAACGTTTAACTGTTACTTGGGTTCCTGGAAAATAAGTACTCAGTGAGTGGACATATTTCGTGTTAAAATTTGCTAATGTTTTCGCATCTAATAACCTTATTAGAATTGAATTCTTGGTTTTATACAAGTGTTTTTGCAATCTTTATCTTTCATTGCGTTTAAAGATGGTTGTGCAGAAAAAAGATTTCTGAATTGCTCTTAACATTCTGCATTTAGATTCTTCGGATAAGGTTTGCATCGAGGACTGCAGCATTAGAATGGGTCACGATGCAATTGCTCTCAAGAGTGGCTGGGATGAGTATGGCATTGCTTATGGCAGACCTACAACAAATGTTCATATCAGAAGGGTCCAACTTCAGTCATCCTCAGGTTCTTCTCTTGCTTTCGGTAGTGAAATGTCTGGTGGCATTTCGGATGTCCAAGTGCAGCAGCTTCACCTCCATGACTCATTAACTGGTATCGAGTTTAGAACAACAAAGGGAAGGGGTGGTTATATTAAAGAGATTATCATATCAGATGTCGAAGTGCTAAATGTTGGGACAGCTTTTAGTGCCATCGGCAATTGCGGATCCCATCCGGATGACAAGTTCGATCCCGATGCTCTTCCAGTATTGGAGAAAATAACCTTGCAGAATATCGTTGGCACGAACATCAATATGGCTGGAATCTTCATCGGAATCCAAGAATCTCCATTTACTTCTATATGCCTCTCAAATATCTCTTTATCAATCGATTCCGCCTCGTCCGATTCTTGGCGATGTTCATACGTTTCAGGCTTTTCGGAGTCCGTCTCCCCCAAAACATGTCCCGAACTAAAGAACTTCAACGAATCTTCATCATGCTTTTCCCTCCTGAAGCCAAATGGTAGAGTTGCAATATTATGATTCCATCTTTCCGTACTAGAAAAACACATAAATCTCGGAGATTCCTATGCCGTACCGGCTCGAGAATAGTTCAGATTCTTTCAAATAAAACACATGCCTAGAATACCTGTTTATTCGTGGATTCATGTTGTCATTTTGGGCATGTTGCAAGCCTGCAGATTGTTTGTACAGCTCCATTTCTTCATTCTTGGGTAAGCAAATTTTTGGTAGTACTGGCACAAAAAGGGAAAAAAGGTTATCGGGGGTACTTCATAGCGTTGCTGTTGATTGAATTATTTTCTTATGATTATAGTATTGTTCCAGGTAAATTTCTCATTGTAAAATCTTTATATCACTGCTTTGAATCGCTGAAGGAAATGATAGATGAGGTGACACCAAAAAAAAGAGGTTAGTTTTGTTTGAATAAACTGCTTTTAGTCATTACATTAGAGAGAAGCAAAGGTATCAGAAACTCATCAGCTGAAGCATATAGCAATGGAGATGACAAACCCTGGACTCAAACATAGTCTCAAATCCGAACATTCGTTCCACCATCAACAACTAAAATATTAAGTTTGTAAAATTCAATAAGTATTTCAGAATATAATGTGTACTTACTACCTTAAGCTTAGCAACAAAAGAAAATTTCTTTCTTTTGACACAAGACAACTCTCCAACCTCTTTCACTTGGTACAAACTCAATATTAAGGGAAGTAATAGTAATGCGGATTTAGAAACATATAACTACTGTGAATGAAGTCTAGGATAATTTTTGAGCTTTAGACTACCTCTCGTGAAGATGACGAGCTTATTTTGAAGCTCTTGAGATTTTAGGAATGTATCTTTTCCAATTTAGATCCCGAATCACTCAAAATCACTAGAAAATTTACTTTTTTGAATGCTAAATGAAGAAGGAAAAATAGATGAGGATGGAAGATGAATGAAAAAGGGTGAATGAGCTAATTCCATGTAAGACGAGAGAAAATTAAGAGAAATAAGCAATGATTTTCCTCAACGTCATAATTACCTTTTTAATCCTTTCCATTTTAATTTCAACTCAAAAATCTCATTTCTGTGTCCATTGGATCCAATTCTCTCCCCTTAACTCATTTATTGCCCAACGAATCTAGTTATACTCTCTTAACAGCCCATAGATATATGGTTAGCTCTCATATGTTGACTTAATAACTCATGTCCTTACACTTATAGTTTCAGATTGGGTCAATTTTAGAATTTTTCAGTTTCATAAGTTTAGAATTGTAAATGAGATGAGATAAATCGTGAGCTGCTCGAGAGACTAAGTCAAAGTTTAGCTGTCAACTATCGAATCAAATGGACTCGACTCGAGTTTGATCTCAACTCGAATTCTTACGAGCTAAAACTAGCTACTTGAAACACAACTCACAAAGCTCGCGAACAACTCAAAAAATAATATAGTAAATTTTTAGATTTTTTTAATTAAATTATTAATAATATTAACATTTATATGTTTTCTAAAGAAAATACAATATAAGGCTTTCATGTACACAAGGTTCAAGTTTGAGTTCGAGTTTACCTATATATCTTTGCTTAACGTATTTACCTAGATAATGTTAATTTGTTATTTATCTTGGACATATTGCAACATAGAACAATATTAAACAAAAGCATGCAATTAATTTAGAAATTTATTTTGATTAATATTATTTATAGTTAGAATTTGTATCCTCCAGGAGCCAATGCCGGCCTTGAAAGAGCAAGTAAAACTGTTTGAGCATACAACAAAAAAGTTACGAAGTCAATTTGAAAGCGAGGAAAGTTTTTTCAAGTGCATGCCAAGATCTTTATATTTTATTAACACGATTTCTTTCGACTTGGATGAGGTGGTTGGGGCTGGCTTATGCCTATAATGATCACTATCATTATCAATTTATTATACAAGACTTATCTGAACATTTACAGGTAACGAAGTTAAGAGAAAAGCTAACACACCCATTAATGACTCCAAATTAAGATAATAAGATAATCCACCATCTAAATATATTTTTTTATTTTGACATGCATGCATCGACTATATCAACTTGGTGCACGTAAAATTGTGGTGAATAATGAATTTTCATTAGGATGTGAACCACATTTAAATTTACATGACACGTGCTACGAAGCACCCAATGAAAGGGCACAATTCTTTAATAAAATGTTATCTAATTTAACAAAAGATTTACAATCCACACTTCCAGGATCACAGTTTGTTCTTATAGATCTATATAAGATTTTTGAAGACGTTTTTAAATCGCCAGCATCATATGATTAATATTATTTAATATTTAAGCTTCAATTTTAGTCTTTATCAAAACAAAATTGATATATTCTTTATTTTTTAATTCAATATATATATATATATACTGTAGGATTTACACAAGTATTAAGCCCTTGTTGTAGTCCTAAAATTTAGTTATTTGTCATGTACGAGGAACTTCACTAGGCATCCACGATTAAATGATTAAAGTGTCGAACTCATAATTGACGAGTTCATAAGTTTAATTCTTACTGAGCCAGTGGGACCTCCAAAAAGTCTATTGGAATTGTAAATCGCATTTGCTTTTGCTACCAACTTCTTTGACCCAAACTCTAATAAGTTCACAATTTAGCCCTAAAATCTCAAATTCTTCTAATTAAGCCCCAAAATTACATTTTAAATCTAATTAGAACCCAATTAAATTTAATAAAAAATTTCAATCTTAATTTTTCCGTGTAACAACTATCCCCCATTAAAAAAAATTATCCTTAAATATTTATCTGATTGAATAGTCGAGGGTGCTGTTGTCGCATGGCTTCTAGTTCCATGTAGCTTCATTCAAACCATGATTCCTGTAGATGACTCTAACAAGGGTACACACTTTCTTCTCAAAACCTTTTCCCCTCTTTGCATAATTAGAATTAGGGTTAATTACACGATGATCACTTATGTTCGTGTTTTGTCCATTTTTTGTCACTGATTTTAAAAAACATAATATATGATCATTTTCGTTTTTATTTAATTAAGATGTGGTCACCATGAGTTAATTGCCATTAACAACATTTAAATATTTTGATATAATCACACATTTGGTCTTTGTTATTTTCACATTTTCTCAATTTAGTCATACTTTTAATAAATTAAAATAAATTTAATCCTCCAATCGAATGATGCTATATGTCATACCACGTGTCACCATTGGATTTGGGGACTAATTTTATTTTAATTTAATATATTTATTTCCACCAATCAAAGAGTGATATGTGCCACACTCTAGTTGAAAGAAAATAAAGGAAAGCAAATTGGGGCAAAAAATTCGAACTTCGATAATTTTTTTAAAAGATTGTTTTGTATTAATGAAGTGGATTTAATACAAAACGATCATCGGCTAGGCCTCATTAAAAAACTTCCCTAATCCTAAGTGGAGGAAAAAGAGTTTCGAACCAATGATAAATAAAGACTACAAAACCATAAGACGCACATATACACGAGACTGAAAAAGTTGGCACTGACTCCACCCAGACTATCCTACCGATACCCCATGCAGTGTCTAAGCCCCATCCGAGATCCACAACCCCACTGTGGTAGAACTCCACTGTCGCCATAATACATCCACACCACATAAAACCCCTTGACAAAATCAATAAACCCCACCTTACATAACGAAAACAGCAACCAAAAACACTAACATAGCTACACAATCAAGCCTGAGACGTAACTTAACATGAAGACTTAAGTATTGCAACCGGATTTCTAGCAAAATCGGAAGGATGAGGAGTATATAGTGGCCATTTACACTTGAACCAGTAACCTCCTCTCAACAAAATCAACTCTGAAATTTTCTCTTCACTCCAACCTTTGCCATTAAAAACAGAATCATTCCTACACGTCCAAATGGTCCAAATGGAACCGAAAAAAAGAAGCCTCCATAAAGATTTAATAGTTTTCCTATTTACCAATGAGTCCCAAAGAAATAATCATTCCTTAACACTACCAAGCATAACCATCGAGATATTCTAGACGCAACACCACTTTTGCCAAATACCCCAAATGATCGGGGAATGGCAGAAAAGATGATTTACGATTTCTACTCCATTATGACAAAGCACACAAGATGTTGAGTTTAAATTTGGAACACCCCTCTTAGAGAGTTCAACAAACGAAGGTATTATCTGTCTAACAGCTCTCCAAACAAAACTCTCCACCTTTGGCGGAGCAATGTTAGCCCAAACTAACTTCTAGAGTGACGCATAAGAATTTACCCCATCAATAACTTGTATGCAGTAATTTTTCAGTGAAAATGATCCATCGAGGGAACCTATCCAGACTAGTTTATCAACCTCGCCACATCCAATTGTAACACGATTTAAAATACTCACAAAGGCCTCCCATAGGTCATTTTCACAAGAAAATAATGCTCTTCACATTTCAATATTCCAGGTCCATATCCCGTCGGACTTAACTCCGAAATCTGCTACATTCTCATTCTTACGAACATCAATGATAAACAAACAAGGAAAAGCAATCTTGAGCGATCTAACTTCAGTCCACCACTCATCCCAAAACTCAATCGATAAACCATCACCCACAACACTCTTTAGATTCTCAAAAACCACACCTTCCATTGATCTTAATGGGGTAGTAATGTTCTTCCATATCCATGACATTTTTATGTTTCGAGTCGGGTTAAATACCAAGGAATGTTGCTCACACTCATATTTAGCATTCACAACTTTTCTCCAAAGGCCCTCCAACTCACTCTCAAATCTCCAAACCCATTTTGACAACAACACATGATTCTTGCACCTCAGATCAACCACTCCCAAACCCCCCGCTTGCTTTGGCAAACAGACTTGGTCCCATTTGACCTACTGGATTACCCTACCCTCTTTTGTGCCCCAAAGAAAATTGGCAATCATTTTATTTAGCTTATTTGCCACACCCGCAAGCATAAGGAACAAAGATAAGTAGTAAACTGGAATGTTGACCATGACTGAATTCACCAGCGTTATTCTCCCAGCGAAAGATAATATCTTCATTTTCAACGCATCAAGCCTTGACTTTAGTTTCTCCAATACAGGATTCCAAATTTACATAGAGTTCCTAGCATACTCCAGCGGTAATCTGAGGTAGTGTTTCGGAAAAGAATCCACGCTACACTTAGCCGCATCAACCCACAATTTTGCTTGCTCCACATCAACCCCAATACCATATAACTTCGTTTTACTCAAGTTTAGCTTGAGATCAGAAGCAAGCTCAAAAACTCGAAAGCACCTCTTAAGCTTTTGAATCATGGCACCATTACCTTAAGAGAATACTATTAGATC